TATATATAAATAATATGAACTGGAGTTACCGGAAACCGCAGTTATAGTACTTTAGAATAAATTCAGATTAAACAGTTCAAAGAGATTTATGTCAGGCGATACCAACTTGTGCGTTTTGGAGTGCTCGTGTGTTATATTGATACTGGGTTATTATTGTACTATTTATTCTGTTGTATGTAACTTCAGCTTTCAATTGTAAAGCGATGGGTGGGCTTAGTTCGATAGGACTATTTTACTATTAATACATGTTGCAGGACTCATTGGTGCTGAACATATAAGAATCAAGCACTTTAGACGTCTAAACGAATAAGCAATGAACCATGAACGAACGATGCAATAATAATCGTAAAGGCAACTATCATCTCGTGGGCTAGGACCACCTTCGCGGCTCAGTCCTGCCCCTTGACTGCGAGCAGCAGATTACTAACACTTAAAAGCAGGTTACCACTAGCTGCGGTAACGGAATGCTTCCATTTGAAAACTCCAGTCAGCACAGATCATAGGGGCTTGAATGTTTCAACTGAGTAAGCTCTAATGAAAATGAATATGTACATCAGTTTTGGGAATTAAGCCCTGTTCAGACAACTTGCTTATTCGGTGCCAAAGATACCAGTGGAAAACAGCATAACTACCTTATGCAACCAATTGGCATCCGTTGTTACAGGTGCAATATGTCACCACGCCACTGTCATCGATATCGTCTGCGCTGTTGCTCGTCGGAATAGGGACGGCCGAGGGGATGACATAATAAGTTGACGGGTGGACTAAAGATTAGTAGGCGCTTCTCGTCTGAATAGAACAACATCATCGGCCACATCTTAATTTCACCTTTATAAGTTGGTACATGGAAAAGTCAAATAGAAATAGATGACGGGCTGCTGGGCTGCGTGAACACCCATTGTCTGCGCTGACCGAAAGAAAGCGGCATGCGCGAGGGCTAATACAAAGCTATACAATGTTCCAGCCACCTCATAAATCGTCGCACCTGCAATTGTCTGCTAATATTGTTCGCCTACTCGATAACGCAATGGATCGTATTATCGTCGACGTGGTCCTTAGGATTGGCTATTCAATATGGCATCACCTAACGGTGGAAAGGAAAAGGGCTTACGGCTGTTGCCACCCATCACTCACTAAAGGAACCAGACGTGGCCAGGTAGAAAGAAGTTTGACGAAGGACAAACAGAAGGTAAGGAATCTTGTAAGAAAGGACAGCTGGATAATTATACTGGTGCTGCGCAACAAGAATGCGTCTGAAAAGTAGATATAAGACAGTAGCAGCGAGGGCTAGGATCAGGCGCTGGCAAAGGGTAATACTAAACCTGACGCTGTACTCGTCGTCATATCAACAGCGGTAGCCTTAGGCTTATATGTTACCTTTTTTACTTTCTGTTCGAGATACCTTGAACGGTACGCCCAGTCGCACAAGATATCCAGGACCATGTACCAATTTGTCCGCTGATCCGGGTGCTGGCAACGTCATTGTCTATCGTCAGTGTTCATCGCTTGCTAGATCTTCCAACCGCCATCATCTCTCTCAAGACCGCGGTCGTTGCACTTGCGAAACTACTTTTCCACGAGCAACTCTACAGTAAAATATATATGTAGCACGGATAGATAGGGGGCTTAGGCAGACCAGACTGAATCCAGACGTGGTGCAGACAAAACAAACAACGATTGGCGAATAATCCGTCTCTAGGAGAGTACATCGTGAGTTGAAACATCTACGAGTTGGAGTGAACATGGTGGGGAAGGCGGGGTGCCGGCTGTGGACACATGAGGCCGAGGTATGCTATATCAGATCCCCATCGTAATGCAAGCGTAGTATAACCGTTATCGTGTTCTCATATTGCAGACTTGCTAAGTCGTCGGTAGAGTTAAGAAAGTAGACCGCGTACTGATTCATCCGAATGGCTGGTTTTCATCTGATCTTATAAACCTGAGTCAGATCCGAATACGACACAGCCAAGTGAGCACCCGACAACAACAAGCTAAGATCAGTATATTAAGCAGGCGAAAAGACACACGAGAAAAAAAAGAACCGGCTTGTTCGGGGCATGGAACTGAATCAATATAGTCGGCAATAGCAAGGAACGCTAGCATCATATCGCAGTATCATTGTGAAAAAGACCGCTGGCCTGCAGCCCGAAGCTTTGACACTTCGTAATAACTTCGCAGTATTGTGACCCTTAGGCGTTCCACCCGGTCAGGTGAAAATATCCAGAGCAAGTACGTTTACCGGCTTTCGAGTACGTATAGATTACGGAATGACAGCAGCGGCTTCTAAGAGACCTCCGTCAGCATAACAGGGGCGGTTACATTGTAAGAAACTATGAGGAACTCTATTGCGATACTGGAAGAAGCGATCGGGGATGATTCCTTCGTTCGCCCACCAGCACGCTACTTTGCATGAAACAGCGGTGGTTTCTTTGACAGCGAAGCATGAACTACTCACGCCACACACTGTCACCGGCAATATACCACTTCCGATTTTCGTTGTAGCTTAACCTGTGCATGTTACTTTTTAGCAAAAAGGAAAACAAAAAACAGAAGTACGAGAAGCTCGCCTGCTGCCGTCGGCAGTATAAGTAAACGAAACGCAAGGTTGCTATCCCACAATGCATTTCCTTCCCATTCAACGAATTTATGTTGGAGTGCCCCAATTCACGATAATTTCTTCCTCTTTCCTCGCTACCTGCTAGGATTCCGTCGTTCCGTCGTGTGCTGAGAGGCTGAAGTTAGCACTCTGGTTCAATATTAACTATCTTTCGTGACAGGCTTAGCTCGATAGCCAAGACAAATAATCGGTCCCGTTTTCTTTTGCATCAGTTTCAGTTGGCTGGTATCGCTTGGCCTTGTTCGGTCTCGTCGGGCTTTGGCCATGGCATTAGCCTACGGCCTGGTTTAGGCCAGCTCTTTAACTTGACCAACTTCTTTTCCCAGTCTCAGCCAGTTCATCTTTAAGGAACAATATGATGAAGCCAAGTCCGGCTAGTGCCATCGGACAATTCGGTGGGGACCCAATGCCGGCTAAAACCTAAGAGCCCACCCAGCAATCGCTGCGGGTCGATCTGATAAACAGAGCGGGAGCATGTAACACGACTGTGGCAAGCAACATTCAAGGGTTCGGAAAGAAAATCAAGCACAGGGGAACTGACAAGAGATGGTTGTCCCTACACAGTAGCCGCAATGACAACAGCAGGGTCTCGCCTGCTGAATGAATGCAGACCCGCTAAATCTGCCGGTTACATAGCTACTCTGTCCTATTGCTTCTTCATAGCCTACCGCTCCTATTCTCTTGCCGTTCCACCCGCTATGCAAAGACACCATCTTCAATAGACGGAAATGAACGTGTTCTCAGAGCCATACGCTAGAAAAACTTTAACTCATTTTACCAGCAAATACTATCTACTCTTATACGGTATGTATAGCATCATAAGAGCGTACCGCCGTGTCCTGCATCGTCGCTAACAGCGACACTCCCCAAGGCCGTATGGAAAAAAGTGACAGGGCTGGACGCGGAAGATCGACTTATTTGTGACGTCCATTAAGGTCTCTCTTATCTGGCGGACATGCGCGGCACATTCCCATACGCCTAATTGAATAACACTTTTCTAATCATTCGTTTGTACTTCCATTGTTGAGCTTATTGTCGCACTTCACATGAGCACAACAGTAATAACAACAACAACGACAACAGGCAGAGAAAGGCTCAACAATTTAAAACAAACAGGCCAGTACGTGACTGTTCGTACTATCGAACGTGACCAGGAGGCCTGCTCGATTTAACCACTACATAATAGTGACGGCTAGTAGACGATCCTCGATTTCGTCTATGTGTATTGACCAGTAGTTAAATAAACCTTAAAATAAAAGTAAAAACAAAAATAAAAGGAACCACATACTAACTAAATCAACAGGTTAGAAATTTTCAATCTCATTCAATTTTTCTTAATTCGATTGCAAAGTATCGCTATTGACTTGTGAGTAATAAGATATTCTTTTATAGCGAAGCTGGAAAGCACCCAATACCTTACCTGTGTAGTGAGTTAGCTTCTATTTCATGGGAACCTGAAAAGGTTTTCGGCGTAAATTTGCGATGGATCTACCCAATGCGGCTATGTATACTATCCTACTCATACCACAGACTACCTGCGGCGCCTTATTTCCCTGGGCGTTTCTTATGTTGCTGTTAAGCACATAGCGATGGTTGACCTGATCAGTAACAACGAGCTCAAATATAATAGACACTTCCAGATTTACAGAGACGGACAAATTGTATTATGTCTTAGCTGACATTGCTTATTATATCGCGGCAAAAGGCATGAGGGTTATTACGTTTACGAGCATATAATTATCATTTATATAATTCGTACGATCTTCATTTTATAGAACGTTACCAATTTACGCCCTGCACATAATTTTTCGATGTTAAAACACAATTAAAATTGGCAGAAGTTCATCCGTTATCTTTAATCTCGTAGTTGGTGACTCTGATCGAACGAGCGGCGGGTATGATTTCCAAGAAACGTGCAGGTTTTAGACGACAATGAATTTTTTCGTTTGCTAATGATCTGCTAGTTTGTACTTCAGATGAGCGTAAGGAGCCTCAAATAGACACGTGACTCTCGAGAGTATTCCTACTTGAATATCGCTAACAGCTATGTTCAGATCGCTACGCCGGACCGTCGGATTCAACAGCCTCACAATGGAACCTCCGGTTCCCGTCAATTCGCATGACATGGCTCGGGATATCCAGCTAAATGTTGATAGAACGTATCGAGAATCTTTATCATGAACGGTTAATAGTGTTTGTTTTTTTACAGTTGCGACTTGAGATGTTTCGTGTAAAAACGTTTGTCAATGACGGCATGATAAAAAAATTCCCACTGCATAACCTTCGTATGTTTCTATACGCGATGCTGTTAATTATGATATCTGCAGCTTTGATAGGCCAATTCTATAGCGGCTTCTATATACGACGTATTTATTCGACAAACCTTTCTCCGCCCGCAGCAGAACATCGTATCGGCCAAAAGATGGGCGAACTTGTCATGTAGCGGAGGGATCAGCCGTGGAGAACTGTTGGCGTGGTGTCCTTGCAGGTGTCCGTCGTGATTGCCGAACGGCTGCTGTTGGAGCTGCGGATGTTGAGGGCTTTGCAGGCCGCACTGCGGCAGACGAAGCTGCGCCGACGAGCCATTGGCTCCGGCGTGCTCTGAGCCCTGAAGGTACTGGTCAGCGAGCAGCTCATTCTTCAGCTTTTGCTCCGTAATCACTGTTGTCTGACCTATAAATGGAGTGCAAACAGACGAAGAAGATTTGCTCAACGACCAATCGGCGAACAAAAGATCAATTCTTTTTTAAGTCGCAATCAATAGAACACACATCCAGGCAAATTAACACGTTGGCCCAGCTGTACCTAACAGCAGCACTCTTCTATAGATTAACAATGACAAAATAGAGTGAAAACCTAAGGCAGCCTTAACAATGTTCGGCACTGTACCAAATCGAGTATGGATTCGATGTTTTTGTAACACCTAAAATAGCTCAATGTGGGATTGGAAGGAAGAATTGAAGCACCTCATCGAACTTCAACTACAACAGTAGCTCTACGGCACGCTTTCTCATCGAACGCTTTTCGATGGTGCCGATTCAAGACGAATCGAACGAGGCAAAATGGTGGCATGCAAGCATTCGAAAAGAAGGCCGCGTGGTCCTGTAACAAATAAGGCAAGATGTTTGTGAAATCGTGCTAATTAATTAGGCGGGTCCAAGTGCATTCAAATCTCCTGTCCTTACAATTGTTAGTTGAACAAACACTGAAATGTCGGGTTCGAAGACGATCGCTGATTGCTTAGGTAAACCAGACGCTCCGGACTGCTCTTGAAAATCGCACGCAATTTCAACACTATTCATCAGCGTAAATTCTGTACGAGGAACGCTTTCGTCGCGCCTGCTTATCGATCATATCGTAACGGTAACGATTCGCAGTAATTGATAGTAGTGTACGTGGGAGATAACACACAATCAGCGTCGTTCAGTGTAGAAAGATGCGCTGCAACATACGCTTGTGCATCGAAGCGTAAACGGCTACATCTTGTAGCATATTGTTAGCTTTTCGAAACACGCAACGTATGCGCAAAGAACGAAGTCCAATATGCCATGTAGCAGCGAAATGAACCTGGTCAGTAAAAGCTAAAAGCTGAACTCTGTGCTAAAAGTAGTGAGGGCACTTGGTCATAGGCAGATCACCGAGAGATACTTGAGTATATCTTTATGATACAGATGAACGTTTGTTGTGTAACGTAAATAAAATTGATTAGAAATGTGTTTGGTTCTTATCGTCCGTGTGAGCACAAGGCCACATGCCCCTGTGGGACGGCCTGCGTGGACGTTCGTCACATACTATTATTACTAGTAGTACTCTATTGTGGATTTCATAGATCTCGCCCTCGGCGACACTTCAGCTAATGACAAGCGCCGTGCGAACAGGTAGAAAATAGTAGAATCCGCTTTGGGTCATTCACTAAAGGCGAATACTGAATCCTCACAGGCAAACTATCAAATTGTGCCTTGTCTATATACAATGAGATGGATTTGAAAAAATCAGATGATAGCTTTGCAGATATTCAATTGACGGTACCAATGTTTAGATGGTGTAGATTGTTTTTACGCCAGTTATAAGTATTTCGAAGTGTTAAAATTGTCAACCGAAGCAAAAGATCTGTTTTGCCGTGAGAGCGATCCACCCCGCTGACCGTTATAATTGGAGAGAGTTATAATTGGAGAGACCGTTATAATAACAGAGAACAATTTCGAATGAATAGAAAAACAAGTGTAATAGTTGGTGTTCTCGCTAATCGGACGTAACGCCTTTAGATTTCCCATAGATTCGAGTCAACTAGATAAAAAAAAAAACGATTTTTTATAACATTAATTTTACACGAGAGCTGCGTCCTTCGGATTTCGAAATTAACTGTGGCGTTTCTGGACAAGGTTCGTGCACTAACGTATATTAAATAAGCAAGAAATATCTATTACTACTACCGGCGTAATACTTAGTTTTTCTCTACGTTATTCGCTACTCGAGTCCAACTGCAGATGTTTCCTAAAGCTGCTTCGTAGGTAGTGCCCGCCAGAAGACCGGCTCGTAGCTATTCCTCAACTGAATACCATTTCATATAATGTCCACGCTTTGCGTCAGTAGAGAGAGGTCCTACAGCGACTAGTAGGACGACCCCGAGCCTACTAGAATCAGTCGACGCTTCACTCATTTACTTCGACTTTATATTATCTAAATATACTTTACATCTTATCGTTCATTCTATTCGTGTAAAGTTGAATCATTGTATTGTGTATGTCGATGACGAGCAAAAATGCTTTGGGAAAAAGATGGTAAAAGCTGGCGTCAGCTCTCATGACAATGTCGATGCTTATTCCTCTCATGCGTAACCTCAAAATTTCACTGTACAACATAGTTTGGGATCCTACACGAAACTTCTACAAATCTGCGCCAAATTTCGTCACTCCTGATAGCTTCCTTACCTGATGATTTAGTGTGCCAATCTTCAAACGTCATCGGACGATGCTTTGCCAAACCAAGTGTTTCGATAAGGAATAACCAAGAGCTAGGGAATATTATTACAGCGCCTGTCGATGAGCTCAGCGGCAGCGATTTGCAATAGCACTAGTATCAGCAATACTAACAACGACAAATTGAACTCTGCTGGCCTCGCGTCTGATTACTTTGCGGCGACAATAGCGTTCCTAGCGAAATAACAACGATCGGTCGGTCGGTCGGTCGACTTACGGCGATTTAACGCTGCAGCTGGCATGGCCTGGACCTGGAAAAGCAACAAGAGTAGGGCATCAGATGTTATTGCCACTACAAATCGCTAACCGTCTTTACATATGAAAAAGCTAATAATGACCTCAAAGGAGGATAACTTCGATTCGACACTTCATCATGCTTGTCAGATTGCAGTCTCAGATTGCCTCGATATATTACGTCAAATTCTATAGACGCTGGGATTTTTTTTCGCTCGCTGTGCAAAGTCTGCTGGATTTTTTCGCTTAGCTGTTGCGGCCGTGCTTGCTTTCGTGCCCAGCATTTCCTCATCTGCATACCTTGCCTTCAAGGACAACGGTGAAAGCAGTCCTATGCGACCTTTACTCCATATCTTTCACCACCTTTCACACTCCTTTCTCTCTCCTCACTTTTATACTCGATCCAAATTTTCCGACCACTTTCTTTCATAAGAGCCCAGTGCCAAAGGCGGCATGCATTTGTTGCAGCTTCTTCCACGGAGTGTTGAAATTTCGCCTTTTTTAGGCCCTTGCCGTTGCCACGAGCCCCACCAAAGCTTTTGCACTACGCTGTACTAAGTCTACTGAGCAGCAGTGGCGACCGTAGTAACAAGAATAGCCTGTTCCTTCGGTTTCAACTTCGGGAAACTTTTTTGTACTCTTTATTTTTTTTATTCCCCAGGAACAAGCGCCGACGGGACGACTAACTAGATTGTCGGCTGTTGGTTTTCTTTAATCGGTCGTCTTCGACTATCGTCGCACCACTTTGGTCCCTCTCCGTGCTAAGCTGAACACCCCACCAGCTGACAAGCGGTGGTGGCCAAAAGTGAAAGGGCGGAAGAGGGCAGCATAGGACAGCAAGAAGACTACTAGAGGAGACGAGGCGTGGGGTAGGGGTAATCTTCGAACAGGGCAGACGTAGAGCAGATAGAAAGGAGTAAATGAAAAAAGCGACTGGGAAGATCAGCGTGGTTCTGTTGCTACCCTGTTTAATACAGACGCAGTCAGCTATCGGGCTGGTGTTGGACAGTGACGACATTAAAGGTATACACAGTACTTGCAGATATCCATTTCTAAGGACGACAATGACGGAAAGAGCTGTCCAGCTATAGAGAATAACAGAGGGGAACTTTCACGGAGGGGCTTCAAGATTCTTCACCGATGTATAATACATGGCCCACTGCGACCAAAGCGGTGGCCATCGTCACCCTTGGCGGTAATTTGCCCCTGGCTGCAACAGCCCTATACTGGAGCGGTTGGTCTATTTCTTCAAGGTGAATCGAACTGTTCGGCTGGCAAACTGTTTGGCAAGCATTGATTAGCAAAAACATTAGACAAACACAGATTTGGAGTTTTGGCGCTGGTCATAAAAAAAGCGTCAGCCACGCTGGCCCGGTTAGCAATAGCTTACACTGGCCTCCAATCGTTTTTTATGGCGCTCTTTGGTGCTCCGTACTCCACAGCTTGAGTGTTCTTGCGTGACCACTACAGCCTCTTATCATATTGTCGACCCGGTTGGTTCGTACTGGGCGCACTCGCCGTATAAGAAGCCCATTCCCTCGATCATACAAAAATAAAACAAGGGCAGAAGAGAAAAAATGTACACTTATTATTTTATTATTAAACACTATTATCATTGGTTGTTTGTTTTATCTACCTCGATGTATAGCTACGTGTTTTTATAAATTCAAAAAGTTAGCGTGAACTATACCAAACGGGCACCAAATGCAGGTAAGAAAAAACAAGTCCAGTGACCAACAGATAGATGATTTTTAGGAGTAGTCCGCCGGAAGTTGACTCCTTTCGTTGACGAGTTCTTTCCTCTTATTTACTGGCTAATTCATTTTTACCGCACACTGGCGTCGATTAAGTGATTATCTTGAGTCTAGCATGTTTTATTTAGAATGTCATGGCTGCTATATATATATATATATATATATATATATATATATATACACTGCAAAACAGAGTACAACATACAGTTATAATAGTACCGTTAGTTACTGGTAGCCATTCCACTTAGGATAATTTCGTTCATAGAGCATTACGTGCAGTACAATTGAATACTGCGGTGAAACAGTCGCCTATGTCTCTGTAGGAGGATCGCGTTGCTGGGCAATGTGTTCTCTTCTGTTGTCTGACTGGTCAACTTCACGGCCGACAGACCGGCCTATCGGCATCAATAATGGCTCATTGATCATAAAAAATATGCTTGGTAAATAGCTGTTCTGCCGCTTGTTGAGGGAGGCTGACCGGAACCCGGCGCCTATGGCAGGGACATATTGGTAGATTGGTAACTACCTCGACAAGAGGGTACTCAATGAACGGGAGGCTAACAGGTAATGGACGTGGCAACGGGCGTCAGGGGCGACGCAAAAGTTTCTGCAGTGGTTCATCATTATAGCGGCCGTCACCATTCTGTGCTGTCTACCGTCTATAGAATAGATGTAAGAAGAGCCTTCATTGGGAGCAGAGAACGAATTAGTAGGACAGTCAATCCGGTTAGGACATGGAAGCACAGTAAAGCATTATCATAGACATCGTTTCCCATTTCGAAAAAAAACGGTAGAGAAGTTACTCTGTGGACCCTCGGCTGCCTGCCACCGGGATCTCTGCTCGCCGAGTAGATAAATGCTGTCCGGCAACGGGGACAAACCTCTCTAGTTTTACCGTATTCTCTAGAAAAGATGGGCATTTTGTCTATAATGACCTGATTGTTTGTCTCTTAGTTATTCAGGTGCTCACGGCCAGTGAAATACAGGCATACTCGTTGTTATGTGCTTAACCTCGATTTCAAAATTTCTGTGCTTCCTAAAATAGCATTGTCAATAGAGATGGATATGGTCTAGCACTCGATCCTGGTCAGCTTCTTCATACAGTTTCATATAATATTCAAGTATGCTGATAAAATGCTTCGCGTATTTATATAATAACGATAGACAACAAAGCATACCACGCATGGCCGTGGTCATTTATGGAAACGTGTTCGATCATGAGCGACGACAAACAGAAACCGTTAACCAAATAGGGGTCGTTCCGCCAGGGCTGTTGATCCGGACTTCAACTACTGTTGTCGTCATAATGTAGCCCTATATTGATGCAGTTGTGTGTAATGTTGCGAGTGGGGCTCCCTTTGAAAAATGGATATGTACTAAATATTATGCTAATCGAAAAATGACAACCGAATCGACCATGTGCTCGTGATAAAACGTTAAACGCTAACTGTCAGGCGACATGTACGAGCATCATTATGGTTACAAGCACCGAGACGACCGATGAGTAACTTTCACGTTCGGGAGTTAACTACCCGCGGTCGGTGCCTGTATCCTGATGACGTTATGTTGTCAACGGCTCAAAAGAGCCCATTGGATTATAGTACTCCGTGGCTTGAATAGTTTCGTATCGATCTGAGCGAGTTAGTGGGAACGACGAAAGTTCACCATTGATGTCAGCTGGCAAAAGAAACCAGACTACGGCGTCCTTCCATTAGATATGTGGAAATCTATAGAAATAGGCACAGGCAACACATGACGCCTCTGCTATGTCCGATGTCAGGACAACAGCGGCAGCGATAACAATAACGGCAGAGACCTGGCTAAGACAAGATAGTTTCCGTGAAGTGCGCAGGAAGCAGTATTACTAGTGGCATAGGCGCGACACAGCGATTCCTGATACAGAGCTGCATCGACGATAACATGTCGGTGAAACCAGTACACGACTTTTTCTCCCCATTTGTATACCGACCCGCATTTCCGACTCGACGCTTCGCGTACATGTACACTGACTTTGTTCTGAACAGCTCCGTTTCCACCAACTGCTCTACCTTTGCGCCATTACAAAACGTCTTACCTTATTCTGTCAGCAGCAACTCAGCATGCAACTGCATTCAGTCCGCGAGTTGTTCCATTTCAACATCGCCGCCGCTACTAGTACCATCATCAGAAAACGACGTTTACCGACGGTCTCAGACCGAATCCATTGTTTGTTTACTTCCGAAAGAAGGGTCTCATCCCTTATGCTCTGCCGTTATACCAAATTGCAGCGTCACTCTTCTCCATTAGCTGATGAAACTGTTGAGGTTAAAAGGCGTTCCTCTGCGTATTAGCGCATCTCACACAGATCACCGATGGGGCTTCACGGAAAAATCGGGAAATTAGTAAGCGACTCTAACCAAAGAAGCCTCATAGCAGAAAGGACCATGCCAGCGTTTCAAGCTGCTACATCACTAACACCAACAGTCGATTGCAGTAGACAGTAGTAGAAGCTTAGAAGACTGCCATAAGCACCTTTAAACAAGCGCAATAAGCCGTTCCAACAGCCGCCTGCAGTTAGTCGTACTGGCTGGAATCGCCTCTTCGTTTTCCCTTTAGCTGGGAGCGATGCCTCCGGCCGTATCGGACGGCTGTGACTGGCAGCTTTACTGTCGGCTAATCAAGTTAGCCCATACCGGGGACCTTCGGGTGGTTTCTCTCCTACCCTTCTACGTTCCCGAATCTGTCATTCCTCGTTCCTTCTTTGGTTCCTTTTGCTAAAGATTTTCTTGCTGGGAAGATTAGCGGGCACAATCGAAAGCAAACTAAGGCAAAGAGGACCAACTAGCTAATGGTCGGTCCGGTCAAGTGACACAACACAATGACAGTTCCAAGCGAACAACCTTGTTTATGTAAAACAGGCCGTCGAACAAGCTGGTCTGACTAGCCGCCACAGCTAAGCAGTCGACGCTTCTCGGCAGAAGTCATAGTAATAGTAGCAGCATATGAGACAATGCGGGCGGTGCCTGACCTTGTAGTGACGCCATCGATGATGACCAATCTGGGATCAACAAATAGCTCGACACCATGCGCTCGATTGGGCCGATCGAAAACCACCCATCGCGTCAGTCTGCCGTGCTTGACGGACCACAGAGCTAAATTACCAATTAAGTAGATAGCCTTCTTAATTCGGTTACTACAAAATGCTATTAAGAGCTAAGAGAGATGGGCTGGTAAATAATATAGAAAGCATCGGGTCTTCATGCACAGGATCTCGGGCTCTTTCA